CAGTCAGACAAACTGAGAGGCCGTGTCCACAAACAGTCAGCGCTGAGAATGCTTAAGAATGCCGACCACAATCTGGAGTCTCTGTCCCTGACAGGCGGTTTGTCTGGGATGAGAGGAGACATGGGAATGGAGATGCATACACACACACACACATCTACACGGCCCTCCAGTATTTATAACCCTCCTGACAAATATGTGCAAAAGCCCTTGTAGTAAATTTATCTTACACTGCAAAATCTCACCGTTTTTTTTTTTTTTGTTTTTTTTTTTTTTTTTTTTTAAATCAAACATTTTATTTGTGCACATTTACATGGTGGAGGCAAAAATACATTTTTTTTCCCTCACAAAATATTTTTTTTTGGTTTATAAATCCTTTTTTCAATAATTTTCTGTTTATAAATGCGTACACATTATGTTTGTTTTAGAAATTAGACAGATTTTATTTTAAAAATTCTATTGAAAATGAGGCATTCCTATATGATACAGATTCATTACACACTATGGTGTTTTCTAACAGTTCATTTTGAAAATGAAGGCTTACAGCCAATTAAAACCCAGAATTCCTTTTATCTGTTATCCGGCATGTGTAAAGTGTGGGGGCTTTTTAAGGCCATCTACCATAATTCAAAAATGTTACTTTCCATCTGCAGTTACATGTGGTGATGCAGACAGTTCCTAATTAAAAAAATAGGGTTGCAGGAACCTTTAAAAACCTAAGAAAAAAAAAAGCCATATTTCACCACCAGGATGTTATTAGCACATTATTGCTAATTTGAAGGTTAATGTCATTTATTGGAGATTCTGATATTTTCTTGTTTATTTCCTCTGAGAATGAACAGCCCTCATTAAATTGAGTCAAAAGACCCTTTTTTCCCCGCTTTTCATCGATCACAGCATAACATTTTCAACTGATGTGGATCCTTTCAGAAAATATGTAAAGGTAAAATGCTCTAACAATAGAAAATGTCAGGTACACACAAAGCATTGTCTATTATTCCATAACTCTGTTTTCTTTTACTCTAGTTTGAAGTGTGGCATAAAATATAATACAGCATAAAAAAGTGAAACATTTTCAAAGATTTTCAGTCTTTAGAAAATGATGTATTATGTATTCGTATAGGTTTTGCTGCCTGGCAGTGCATTGAACATCATTAGTCCACGAGGCAGTAGAAGCTTTGGACAGCACTGACTTTCACATCATGAGGATGATGGCAGATGGTTGTCAATAACATCCTCCACAAGGGTAGATTATTGTAAAGAGGATATTCAACTGCAGCTTGTCCTTAGGCTATGCTTGCAGAGTTCTTTGCAGCATTGCTGAGCCTAAGACCAGGCATCTCAGTAAAGGAGAAGAAAAGGGCAGTTAATCTATGGTCCAAAGTCCTGTTCTCAGATTGAAACACATTTTGAATTTCATTTGATGAATGCTTCTTGAAGGGACAGTGCGTGATTCCCACAATGATTTTCAGAGCGATGGCATCCTCTCCTGTTGGCCCACTTTGTTTCATCAAGTCCAAGGTCAGTAGAGGATATTTTGGAGCAGTCCATGTGTCTTTCTGCCAACAAGCTCTATGGAGATTTTGATTTCCTTTTCCAGCAGGACTGGAGACCCGCCATATCAGCAGACAGCAATACCAGCGTTAATGACCATGGAATCACTGGTCGGTTCAGTCCAATACATAAGCATGACCTGAACCTCATAGAGGACTGTCAAAATAATGATCAGACACCAGACCAACCAAGCAGAAAAGGTGAATGCAAATAATTTGGGCCGCCTTAACACCACAGAGGAACTAATGGATGAATCTTTTTCAAGTATAGAGTGAGTACTGTCCAGTACATGGATATACTTTTCAGTGCTGCAGAGGTGGGTAGTAACTAACAATCACTTTTACATAAACTTGAGTCATTTGATAAGTTTAGGCATAATTTTACTCTACAACTCTTGACTTAAGCAATATCATGAAATAAACCTTCTTGGCTACTCTACAATGTAACAATGTTAAATGAATAACCAGTTTGTCTTAACCAAAAATGTTCCAGGAGCAAATTTTTTTTTAACCACATAAGCTAACTTTTTATCTGCTGAGCCTTTTAAAGCAGGTCAAGCTAAAATACAGTAACAATATTGTCACTGGATGAAGTTCTAATATCCATATATTAACTATTTTTTAAGGTTTTAGAGATTTATGTTAGAAAACATGATTTAGAAAAGTGTTTCTTTTACGCAGAATTTAAATTTTGCAGTTATACTAAACTGTATAAGTCTAAAATACTAGAATGTGCACATGACTATTGTTGATCTGTCTTATTACGTTAGTCAGAACATGTGATGAGTTATTGAGTGCTTGGTTTAGCCAACTTTTAACAGGTGATTAAAAATAATAAACCCTTTGGACAAAAAAACCCCTAAGATCCTATTTTCAATTGTAGCAAGGACTAAGATTTTTTTATTTTAGCTTTGTCAACACACTGTCACAAGTACAGAGCAATGAAATTAACTCCCTGCATTTAACCCATCCCCGTGGGGAGCAGTGTGGGGGTTAAGGATGTTACTGAGACCCAGAGTGGCAGTCTGTGGGAGTGGGGCTTAAACTCAAACCTCTGGATTCCAAGCCACTCCCCCCTCATTATGTGCATATGAGATTACGCGGCAAAATTTTTATTGAGCACTTGCAAACCTTGTGAATTAAAATGTTTACAATAAAACTAATTGAACTTCAATGCAAAAGAACAGGAAAAGAAAGTGCTGTAAGATGAGCTGAGAGCTCATTTTAAGTGTTAATTAGCTTGACATTTTGTAAACATTAAAAATGATGAAAGTCGTTAACGACCCCTAAAAATTTTACTTTTGAGTAACTTCCAGAACTGCTACTTTTATATGTTAAAGGAATAATTATCTTCTGTATTATTTATGGATACTTTGCACACCTCTGCTTAGCTGAATGGAACATTTAAACCTACTTGAATATTTTTATGAGCTGTAAGGAATCCGATTAAAACATTTACAATAAAAGCAAAGTACAGTTTTAGACGATTTAAAGATGCTGCTCTAAAGAGGACATAGAAGTGCTTTTCTGGAATAATGAAGCACAGGAGGTAGGGTAATGTGAGCAGATGATCTTAAATTAGGAAATGCACAAGTTAACAGCCTCCCACCTGAATTTAGCCTTTGGGACATTTAACACCAATAAAAGTGTGACAAACAAGGCTCTGTAGAGAATAGTAAACGGGTATTAAAAGAAAACATAAAACCCCCTCTCTATCCCCCAGTGTGTGCTCATTCAAGAGCAATGAAGTAGGAATTTAAGACCTTTTAAAAGTCTTTACCAGTGTGAAGGGTGCTGTATGTCAGAAACAGACAATGCAATAAAGGAAGCAGCACACATCGTTTGTACTGAAAGTAGCAATTTTTTTTTTCATTTTTCAGATACAACTATTTACACGTAACCAGAGACTACGTTCTCAAAACGGGTACAAACATTTTTTTTTCCTCTTGCCATTGTTTTTTTTTTATATTTTTGTTTTTTTCCCTCAAACAAATCAGAAATATAGTATAAAATAAGATATCAGCTTAGAGGAGCGGGAGGGGGAAAAGAAGTCTACGTAATTTAAATGTCCAGTTATGTATATGTACACAAGTATTTACATTCTAAAACTTACTTCAGAAGAAAATTTTTTAAAGTAATTGACAGTAAACACAGTTGCAAGTTATGTTCACCGCAGCCCTACAAAACCAGATCAAACTGACGTTTATACAATTATGGCTGTAACTCTGTTCAGTAATCGAACAGGAGAGCAGTACACGACAAGAGGCTTCTCAGCGTTAAAGGTGAGTAAAGCACAGGTGGAATGACACCAAGGCAGAATAAATAATCTGGAGTTTAGGACGAGGTGTCTAAAGCAGACACAAGATGAATCAGAGGTTCATAATCAAATATATTTTTGTTTAAACTCGGGCCACAAACTAAATCTGCAAAGTCAATCACATGATTATATTAAAATAAAACAGTCCAGCTTGGTTTAAAAAAAATAAAATCCATTCAAGACAAGGAGATAAAACATTAAATTAAATACAATTCTTAAAATTATTTCATTGCATTTTAAACAAAGAAAACCATCATTGAAATAATTATGTGCTCTAGTTGAGTTAATGTGGATATAGGAACACCACTGTTGAATTAGTTAAAATTTAAATTAACTAAAATATAAACAAATATGGGTGAAAGGAAATAAAAGCCCAATGGCAGCAGGTAGTTCCCTACTGCCAGTCTCAGTCATACGGAGGACATCCTGACATGATCGCTTTATCGAAGGGTAGGAAAAATGTCTGAAAAAAATCTAAAAACATGTTAAACAGCTAAAACTGCTTTATAGCACAGATTAAAAACAAAACCCAAGCTTTAAAACTCCCTTAAACATTCACACTAATTGTAAGCATGAATGGGAAAAAATGAAAATTGCATTCAAAATCATTCCACACTGGTTTTCATAAAGACATCATTCTGAAGTCCATGAAGATGATTGATTTCCCTGCTGATCAATTATTTCACCCTTGGCTTGGACGTGGATAGGCAGAGATTAAAATGTAATGATCCATAAAATCTGATTCAAGGCTTCACACTTCAGCTGCGCAGCCAGAAATCAGAACCTGACAGCGAACATGACTCCTCCTCAGCGGCTTATTGTTGTCAAACCTTTTGGGATGATGCATGGGGAGATCCACTTCGAGTCCATTTCAAATGTCAGTCCACTTATTATTAAGCATCTTGCAGAATTATTTCGGAAATAATCTGTGCAACTGAGAAATAAGAATGAATCTGGGCATGACATGACAGGAAAAAAAAAGTTAAACGTCCATCAGCTAACAGGGCTTTGGTTCAGGCTGTGCTCCAGGAAGGGACCGAAACGGATGATTTAGAGTTTACACACAAAGCATCATGTATGCATCAAAGGGGTAGCCAAATGAGGTCATGGGAGCGTGACATCAATGGACCCAGGGAATATCTCGAGTTTGTTGTGGTTCAACGTGTGTTAACAGTGTTCCAGGTAGTCGATGACCCGTGAGATAGACTTCTGTCCTGTGGTGCCCATTGCACACTGTGTGGGGAGACGGAAAGGAAAACAAAAGGGTTAGAAGTGTTCTGAAGCCTTAAAGGAATAGTACACCCAAAACATGATTAGCCTTCATTTTCTACTCACCCCCATGCTGAACAAAACTCTGGAGTACTTTTTTGATATCTCAAATGCATCTGGAGATCTGGGAGGCTTCTTGCTGTCTGCTGACATTCAAATAATGGAGGTCTATGGCGCCCGAGACAGAAAGGTCCACAAAAGTCCACAAAAACGTGTCAATATTCCTCCATACTGCTCGTCCAATGTAATCCAAGTGTCCTGAGTGGGTAGCATCCAGAATTTACTCGAAACGAAGTCATTTAGAACGTTTTAGAGCCTAAACAGTAGTGTATAGGATTTCCTAATAGCGCCCCCATGCGCGCTCACGATTCTACGGAAGCCGGCAGACCAAACCGGAAGGAAGTGCGCATTCAGCGTCTGCTCTGCCGATAATGCAAGCGTAGAAGAAGAAATGTGCTGTTTACCTGTGCAAAGAAAGAAACAACGAAAGAAAAATGTCTGAGGACTTCAGTGTTGAGGAAGAGCATGAGTTCTTTGCCGAGCTGAATGCGCTGGTTTGGTCTGCCGGCTTCCGTAGCGTCGTGAGCGCGCATGGGGGCGCTATTAGGAAATCCTATACACTACTGTTTATGCTCTAAAAACATTCTAAATGACTTCGTTTCGAGTAAATTATGGACGCTACCCACTCAGGACACTTGGAATACATTGGACGAGCAGTATGGAGGAATATTGACACGTTTTTATGGACTTTTATGGACCTTTCTGTCTCGGGCGCCATAGACCTCCATTATTTGAATGTCAGCAGACAGCAAGAAGCCTCCCAGATCTCCAGATGCATTTGAGATATCAAAAAAGTACTCCAGAGTTTTGTTCAGCATGGGGGTGAGTAGAAAATGAAGGCTAATCATGTTTTGGGTGTACTATTCCTTTAAACACGCAGAGGAAACATTTTCACAGCTTATAATTTCAGCTTCTGCTCAAATAAAAAAAAAGAAAATATGAAACACATTGTTTCAGTCATCAGTTCTGACAGAATGAATCCCAACTGATAAATACTGTTGAGCAGTTCAAACAATCAGCCATCTTTTTTTAATTACTACTAGGAGCTTGCAGCTCAGGCATAATTTCTGAGTAGAAAATAAATGATCCCAATTAACAATCTTATATATTCATCTCAGCTGACAGAACATGAAGATCTTTTTTTATAAGAGAAACTGAAATTATTTGTAACTGGTAAGTCACATCCAAGGACTGAAACAGCTAAGGGACTTTAAATAATTATTTTTTTTTTTATTATATTTTTACTATGTTATCACTAGCAATTTATATGCATTTTCCTTCATTCAGATAGATGTTAGACAAAATGCAGACTGAATCTGAATATTTGGGGGGTTTTTCTCCCCCCTGAGTGTACAGAAGCACCGTCTTCCCAACCGGTTTCAGAATGGTGCTGATCGCTTCCAAGAAACGAGCCATGTTGTCTACCAATTAAATCCCTCTTATTAAACCAAGGCTGTTTTGAAAGTAAACTTGGAAGGCAGCGGGAAGCTTGTCAGTAAAATACCTGACAGCAGGTTTCCTACCTGTGCATGTAGCCTGACTAATTACCCAGCTAATATGAGCTGTTGGCAATACTATACAAAACCAGAACAGCAAGGAGCACATTCTGCACAATAACCACATCAAGTTCAAACCTGCGGGTGAATTCAGAGTGAAATTAAAGAAATCTAAATCCTTTAATAGGGCTCCTATACATGTTCAGTTACAAGATGCAATAGTTCTGTAAAGCAATTTTAAAAATCTGCCTGTATTTGTAATAACATTGTGGAGGTTAGAGAATAAAATAACTGACCTTTAGCAGCTTAAATAAATAAAAAGAAAGTGCAATTATCCTAAGTTTCCTAATCCATTAAACGTAAGAAAATGCATTTGGAATTTAAAGAGCAAAAAAGATGCAAATACTTTTTAAAGCCATTTTTTTTTTCTTAATTTTATGATCATGTTAGAATTGGACAGCATCTGATGCCTAATTTGATATTTTAGTATCACATCATTGTAACACGGAAGGTTCTGGAATGCCTCTATTATTCCTCTTAGCCGTGTTAGACCTACTATACAACCCAGATAACAGAGTTTACCCTGTCGGTCATACTTACAGTGAGGTTCATGAAACTCAAGAACTTCTTCAGCATTTCTGTCATTATAGAAAAATCCCCTTTAGGAAGGTTCTGTCTCACTGTAGTCACATTTATCTGAGGGCGACAGGGAGAGCAGTGAACTTAGAGTGAGAGTAGATCCTCAGCATATAGATTGTGTAAATGTGTTTTAGTCTTATCCTCACCTGGCTGCCCTGACAGAGGCAGCCTAGTAACAGAGCTGTGTAGGAGGCAACGATGCTGTCCTCCATATGTTTGCCTGCATGCTGCAGAGCTGTAACAAAACAGGAAAACAAAGTTATTCTCACTCGTTTAAATATCTAATGGAAGATGTATTCAATTATGTAGGCATAAAAATAAAATTATAAAAGTAACTTTTACTACTCTTTAAGCATTAATCCATTTTAATTCTGGGATTTATTCTTAATAATTATTGGAAGTCATAGAATGTAATTAGACTAAAGCTACACAATAATCCCTGCTAAATCTACCTTTATTTAGGTCCAATTCTTCATCCTCTTCCTCTTTCTTTTCAGTTTGGCTGTCGTTTGTTTCAGATGCAACCCACTGGATTTCACCCGACGTTTCCTGCCACTCTCCGCTTTTGTCCAGGGCCGGCTTAGGAGCCTCGCTGATGAGGTCGTCTGTCTTTGCCTCAGCCAGGATGGCAGCACGCTCTCTCTCAAGGAAGAGCTGGTGGAAAAATAACAGCAGTTAACTCAGCACCAAGCTATCAGTAACAGGGCTTTTCTTCTAAGTAGTGAAACCAAACAAAATGGTTTCAGATTTTAAAAAATGTAAAAACATGGAATTTAAAATATTGTTCTTTCCAACTTATCTTAAATATGCAGACAAAAACAAAACATCCAGTAACCAACCCATAAATCCTTTCCAGCACAAAAAACAGAGTCTTGATATGAATCCACATTTCAACTTTTGGACAGGAATCTTTTTCTAAACAATTCTTTACCTCTAACCATTCTACTGCATCTACATGCTTTAAAAACTATTTACAACAGATAACAACCCTGTTATGACTGGAGTTTATACAGTTCTATAACAATCAGGTTGAGGGTTTGTTATTTGCTCCGCCAAGGAGGTTGGTTGTGGTAGAGTTTGTGTGCGTGTTTGTCTGTCTGTTTAAATTAAAACTGGATTTTGATTAAATTTGTACCAGAGGTTCATCTCAGTCCAAGAAACAACCCATTAAGTTCTGGTGATGATCTAGATAATAATCCAGATGCAGGAACATTTTAAAGTATTTTTCAACATTAATTGGCACAACAAGCAGTTCCCCCCTAAACCAGAGGGTGGCAGCACTAAGTATGCATCGTTTAAGCATCAGACTCAAAGGTCCAGAAGTATTATACTGAAGATAAAAACACAGAACAAATGAACCATTCAAAGTGAATGAAGAAGGTGAGAGCAGAACAAACACCAAAGGCTGCAGACACACTCTGTACCTCATTTAGAAACTTAGGAAATATTTTTAAGGAAATGGCTTACAAAGGTGCACCTCATGCCAAGGAACAATTTATTAAAATTTGGTAATGATCCAGATCATGTGTGACTTTTAGCTATCGGTAGAATGCATGATATGGAACAAAATGTGCTGCTTGACGGAGGTCTGAGCCTCCAAGCGCTTTTCTAGTTAGTAATAATTGCCCAATGTAATTTTTCAGCAAATGCATTTAAGGTCCTCTACAGTCCATATCATCTGTTCTTTTCTAGATTATAGGTTTCTGCTTCAATAACTAAATCAGTTATAAATGGAGCTCATTTGCACATAAGTTGGAAAGAATTCACATTAGCTGTATACCCAATATGCTTCTAAAGAATCCTGTGCATGTGTTTTATTGGCGATTATAATCTTTGGTCTTCATTTTCCTTTTAGGAAGGGGTAAAACTTCTTTCTAAATGTGGTCACTTATTGGAGACGTGTGCCAAATTTGACAGAATGCCTGCGCCATTTTACCACAGATATAAAATATTTTTAGAACCGTACTCGGCATGATTTTTGGCAAGGCTAAACAAGGCCTGTCATCCACAGAAACCTTAGTGTAGATGTCAAAAGTAGGGGAGCAAAAAAAAAGTTCTGCAAGAAACATGAGATTCTGAGATAAAATTGAGTAAATTTGATGGGAACCCCTGAGATACATTTGGAGCTTTAACAAAGACATGGACCTACATTATTTCCCTTATGATAGAGAGCGTGTCTGGGAGAGGAAGAGTGAGAACAGATATTAAAACTCATTTTGTTATATGAAATAGAAAATTAAATTTCCAACTGTCCCTTTTTGAAGAGAAACCGTTAAACTTTAAAACAAAAGTCAAATAACCACTTGCTCTTTTGCTTTCCATAAACAGTTTCTAAAAGGGAAATAAAAAGACCAAAAGATTCAGTGACCTTTAACCCTTTAAAAACCAAACGTTGCAATTATAAAAACAAAGATTTTCTTCCTCCTACACTTCATTCCTGGTGTCAGAAAGGGCATCCAGTTTAAAAACTTTAAAAGGTTGTGTGCATGATGTGCTGACTTTCTGGGTTAAGGGTCAGCTGAAATAACCTATCAACTAACCATATAAATCTCTTTTCAGAAAGAAAAATTCCTTTAAATAAATATCTAGCATAAATGGCTGGGGGATTATAGTTGGCGTGAAGTAACACTGATTTTTACATTTTCTTCAAATTTAATCTGCAGATACCTGCAGGGAATAAACCTGCCTTTTAGAGGGAAAGTGTTGAACAAAACCGTTCTCTACGGCAATGGAAACAACAAACAGAAGCATAGACTTAGATTTCTAGGAAAGGAGATTTGGATAAAAGTTGATAGAGTTGTGAAAATTAAATTCTGCCCAATATTTTAAGTAATAATTCCAATAATTTGAATCTAAATAAAGGATCTATTGAGAGGAGCACATTTGTCAGTTTCTACCTTCACCAGGGCAGCTAAAGCTCCTGCAGGCTTCGGCGTGTCAGCCTGGTCTCCCTCAGTCTCAGCCGATTGCGCTGCTGTCTCTGATTGTGTCGGATCAGCAGGCTGCATCAGGCTGTCTTCCAGACCCGCGTCATCCACACTGTACTCCATGTCCACCAAACTGTGACGGTTTCTGGAGCTGTACTCTACCAGGTTAATTAAAAGCCCCAAACCCTGATGAATACAAACCAGAGAGAGAGAAGAAAGTTAGAAGGATAATATTTTTTACTCTCAAACAAAAACAATTCAGGTCTCCCTTATGTGGTGTAAATCTTACCAAAACTCGCACTTCAAATCGCTGCTCCTGTGGGATGTAGTGTGGGACTCGCAGGACACAGTTTAGAGCGGTGATCATTAGCTGCTCCTGCTCCCCGGTCTTCGTGCTTCCCCATTCTGTAAACAAATATATTGATCATTACTGACCTCGGCCTACACCACTGAACTATACCCTGCCAAGTAGCTCATTTCAGTAAACATACCATTTTTTTCTTAGCTATACAAGTAAAAGAACAATGAAAACAACAGGTCCACTTGGAATAAAATTTAAGTATGCACCCAGTGAATGCTTTCTCCTTAAAGATGCTAAAATAAAACCTTCAAGTTGAAATACCATTATCATGTGTGAGGTTGAGGAGCACCCCTATGACAGCCCTCATGCAGTCCTCCACCGCCTTGCCCACGTTGCTGAAGCTACAGTGTGGCAGGGTTGCACCCGATGATGACAAAGAGCTGTTGTTTAGCGCCCTGCTGTACCGCTGGATCATATCTTCGCAGTACCGCAAAGCTCTGTTGACAGAAATAGAAAGGGCTTTTGTGAGAAATACAGAGCGGAAAAGGCGGAAATAGGGCAGAAACATGAATTAAAAATGTCGGGAAAAGGCAGAAAGATGTAAGGCCAAGAAGATTGGGCAACTTAGATTGTTTTCTGAATGCAAAAGGACCACCTTTTAGACAAGTCTAGATCAATACTTCAAGTTATGATCGGTCTTTTTCTTTTCTTTTGTATTTCCTCTTTTCAAGTTATAACCCAATCTTAAAGACTAAAAATACATTATGCCACAAAAAGGCATGCCACTAAACTATGTTAGGTCCTTTAAGTCCTTGTTCGTGAGTTTATTTTATGGATACACTGAGCAAGGTTGTGGCCTACGTCCAATTGAGTTGCAAACAAAACTCAAATTTTGAAGACCGTCACAAGTAGGCTGGGCCAAAATGCAATCTCTGATTGTTGAATTTTAATTGTCGGATCAATCTTTTCAAACATGTTTACCTCCTTGGTTGCACATACTCATGAGAAACCCATTTAAGGTAGATATGGTGACTTAAACAACAGTCAGTGCTCACCTGGCTGAGGAAACGATGAGCTGAGAGTCTTTGTAGGCAATCAGATATCCCTGATTTTCTGCGTTCTGCAAAGTCACCTGTTAGCAGATTAAGATACAAATAGGGAAAGATTTAAAATGGAACCAGAAGAGGCACAAAATTGGTTTAACAGTTTTTTATCCAACGAAACAGTTTGTATCTCAGAGAAAAAAAACAAAACACGGAAATCAACCTGTTTTGCCCCTCTGTCTCACTTTTGAACAATTCTGAAAAACTTTAAAAGATTGTTCTTACACTTTCAAGGACTCTCAGACACCTCTCGGCTCCCCAAAGAGATTCTACGAGCTTCTCCTTGTCATCTTCTTGGCTCAAGTTCTCCACACACTCTTTCACTGTGGCAAAACAACAAAAACTTTTCACTTGTCCTTTCACATTTTTAAGCCATCAAGCAGGCCGCTATCACACACAGCATTTAACACACACGGACCTTTATCGACAATGTGGTCCAGGCCTCCCAATAGCCGCAGTTCTTCTTTGAACCAATCACCCGCCCGTTTAGATGTCAGAGATAATAATGCCTCCATGGCAAGATGACCCGTCTATAAAAAAAGATACATGTATAGATTAGATTAATTATATAATGAGCTATTTTTATCATCTAGCTTGGTGATATGAGAAATGTGCCTCTGCATTTAACCCATCCCTTTGGAGCTGCCATTGTGCGGCGCCAGGGGAGAGGTGTGGGGTTACGGGTCTTTGCTCAGAAACCCAGAGTCGCACTCTGTGGGAGTGGGGCTCGAACTCAGAACCTCAGGATTCCAAGCTCAAAGCCCTTACCGCTAGGCATTTTTGTTGCTGTTAATGAGACCCTTGGCATGCCCCTGGGTGGCAGCAGCAGCTTAAATACAGGTTGCAGTATTTTTACTGGGTCATTGCAAATCTAAATTTTACCCTGTTTAATGTATATCTGTGTCAGAACAACTGTATACAGTATAAAAGAGAAGACAACATCAGTAGGTGTCATGTGTACCAATTGCAAGATGGGTTTACTGTAATTGGAGACCCTTGGTTTCCCCAGGAAAAAGAGTCACTAGCATCTTTTAAGCTGCTGGAAGGTTGGCTTGTCAGCTATGATTGTTGGCAGGTGTTTGAATACAGTGGAATGTTCCACTGGCTGCCTTTTATGGGACAGTAGGTCACATCTCAGGAAATACTCCCTGTTTTTTTCCTGATATTACAGTCCAGAAAGCTGTCATTGAACTAGAACTAGGTGTAAACAAAAAAGGAACATCTATTCACATCTTTAGGGCCAGGGACCAGCAGGGCATGCCATTAGCGTACCCGACCAGAGAGAAAGCTTAGCTGGGAAATTACAACTCATTAGTAAACAGAGAAAACAAGTGGAGAGGAAACACAACCTGCAGACAGAGTTCAGACATTATTACCACCACTGGTATTTACAAAACAGAAATTAGAGGATACATCTCTCAGATTTTCAGAAAATATTTTGATCTCTACGCAGGAGTTTTTAGCTACAGTTACACTGCAACCTGAAGTGACCCAAATCCAAAGTTTGTTCCAATATGCAACCTGTATCTGAACTTTTCATGAAAGTCTGAAAAACACGTAGACTATTTTTTCAATGACACCTAGGGCACTTGTCTGTGTGGCCATAAAAAACGATATGTTTAGTCTTTTTTTTACATGTCGTATTCATCAGACCTGTAAAAAGAAAGACAGATACTGAAATTCAGAGATCAGGGTTTTATATGGAACGGTGCATTCTAAGTACAAATGGAATGAATTTTATCTCTCAAGTCATTTTTTGTCAAACCAAGAGTAATGGGAATTCAAATCATTTACAAGGCCAGCAGGGTCTGTATACTGAGGAAAAGCTTTTTGCTTTCTTCCTTTTGTGTTCAGACCCCTACAGGCATTCTACTTTTTTTCCAATATTTCTGACTCAGTTCACACTCAACCTTGTCTTTGTAATTTAGTTTTGCTTTTTAAAATCTTGCATCCCATTTGCTTTTATAATTCCTTCACCTTCTGGATATTTCAGTTCGTTATATTCAGACTGGTACATGTGCTCGCAGGTTGGTGGCACAAAAATTACACCATAGTTGAGGAGAACGTTGGGGAGAGAGGGAGGGAGAGAGAGCCAAAGAGACACTGCTGCCAAAGATTATCACTAAATTGAGTTTTCAGACCACTGTAGTGACTCTTAAAAAAAAAACATAAGTTTTCTGTGTTGTTGGAGACTTCGGTGAAAACATGTAAAGCATCAGTCAGTTTTCTGTTTTAGCAAGCAGTCAATGTCCTGGCTGTCTGCAGCTTATGAGGAGGAGGAGGAGGAGGAGGAGAGCAACTCCACTGCATAGAAGAGGGCCCGAGAGGTAGACACACCTCTAGCAAAATGTGCCCTCAACCCTCGATGAGGTTACAAATCTCTGCAGCTGTAGGCAAAAGAGATGGCTTCCACAATCCAGTGAAACAGCATCTGACAAAACACTGGCTTCCTCTCGTGTGGGGTAGCCCACAACACAATTGTTGCCGACCAAGCAAAATACATGTGCAGAGCTCGAACAGGTCATAGTTCATTAAGATGCTTAAAGTGGAGGATGGAACGCCATAAGCTCAACTGTAGGGAAGCTATAATGTATTTACTTTATTGACAGTGGAGAAATTTACAAAGCAGAATCCAACACTTCTGGCAAGAACCCCGGGTTAGGGCACAGACAGACCTAGGAAAACCCAGGAGCAATCTTAACATGAAGGGGGGTTAGGTTAGGTTGTGTGGCTTTTAGCTGCTGTCACACCAAAGGAGCGTTTGCCCCATGGTTTGGGATTCTCTGACCGTTGTTGATTAGGCTGCTGCCTGGAGAAACATACAGAATGTGCTGCTTATTTGTATGTGTGCTGCAAAATAAAACATGCGAGTCTTTCCGTTTAATTAAGCAATGAAACGTTTGAAGAGGAGATGGTGCGGCAGTCAAGATGTCTGTTAAGTATGGAAGAATGTTATGAGGATGAAAGGTTAAGCTCTCATAATATTTTGAGTGGTCAGTTTCATGTACCCAGACACTGGATGCCTGGCTGTTCTAAACAAACATACCGTATTTACGTGACTATAAGGCGCATATAAACGTCTTTTTTTCATTGAAAATGTGCAGCGTGCCCTATAGTGCGGTGCGCCCTATGTGTGTTGTTACTGTGGACTTTTGAGACCACCATGAGAACCTTAAAGGGGAAGTGTGGGCACGGATTGTGTATAATCATCTCCTCATTGAGGAGATGATGAAAGAGTGGCTGAGGGAGGTGTATGTAAGGAGAACCAGGTGTTTTTTTTCCACGCATCACCATAGCTGTTAATCTGTGACTCCATGCGTGCCCATCTCACAGCCGATGTAAAAAACATGGTGAAACAAATGAACGCTGTGCTTGCTGTTATTCCGGGAGGTCTGACAAAGGAACTTCAACCGCTCGACATCGGTGTGAACCGACCGTTCAAAGTAATGCTACGTTCACGCGTCTGCTGCTTCATTTTTACTGCTTGTACCAGTTAGTTCTGACGCGCGGCTGAAGCAGCTTTATCTGCTCTGGCTGCGTGGTGCAAAAGTGTGTCTGACGCGCGTTGGGCGGAGCTACTCTATCCTTTCTCTGCCTTGCAGCTATATTTGATGTGATCAGTGGGAATAAAGTAGTTTTAATATGTTTTTAAGTGAGAAAGTCCACCTGAAAACGTATTCATTGCAGTCATTTCATCCAGACTACCATCCCACCTTCCAATATTATTTCTGTCGGAGCCGCTCAGACCCCCAAATACCGGCGGTGCACTGTCAGTAGGAATCCCATTCAACAGCAGCCTCTGGCCGGGTCGCCTCCTCGCGGTTCACTGCGGCAGCTGGTAGGTGTTTTTCATCTAAATAATCTAAACTGCAGGCACCAGGATAATAAAAGCGAACATATTCTGCCGGCAGATTTCTGCATTTTAAGTTAATTTATGCGTCAATAAACTGTTTCAGACGAGTGATCACAGCGCTCTGTGTCATTAGCGATGTGTCTGTCTCACAGCGAGCTCCCAGGTTTGTTTAATACTTTGTAATAAATACATGAATAAAGCACAATCATACTCAGTTTTGCTCCCACTCTTATTTTTAAATACGCAGTAGAGGTATTTAAACGTAGCAAAGGACATGTACCTGTATATAAAACCTGCGCCCTATAGTCCGGTGCGCCTTATGTGTGTTAAATACAGTAATGGCACACATACACTATATTGCCAAAAGTATTTGCTCACCCATCCAAATTATTGGAATCAGGTGTTCCAATCACTTCCATGGCCACAGGTGTATAAATTCAAGCACCTAGGCATGCAGACTGTTTTTACAAACATTTGTGAAAGAATGGGTCGCTCTCAGGAGCTCAGTGAATTCCAGCGTGGAACTGTGATAGGATGCCACCTGTGCAACAAATCCAGTCGTGAAATTTCCTCGCTCCTAAATATTCCACAGTCAACTGTCAGCCGTATTATAAGAAAATGGAAGTGTTTGGGAACGACAGCAACTCAGCCACGAAGTGGTAGGCCACGTAAACTGACGGAGCGGGGTCAGCGGATGCTGACGCGCATAGTGCGAAGAGGTCGCCAACTTTCTGCAGAGTCAATCACTACAGACCTCCAAACTTCATGTGGCCTTCAGATTAGCTCAAGAACAGTGCGCAGAGAGCTTCATGGAATGGGTTTCCATGGTCGAGCAGCTGCATCCAAGCCATACATCACCAAGTGCAATGCAAAGCGTCGGATGCGGTGGTGTAAAGCACGCCGCCACTGGACTCTAGAGCAGTGGAGACGCGTTCTCTGGAGTGACGAATCGCGCTTCTCCATCTGGCAATCTGATGGACGGGTCTGGGTTTGGCGGTTGCCAGGAGAACGGTACTTGTCTGACTGCATTGTGCCAAGTGTAAAGTTTGGTGGAGGGGGGATTATGGTGTGAGGTTGTTTTTCAGGAGCTGGGCTTGGCCCCTTAGTTCCAGTGAAAGGAACTCTGAATGCTTCAGCATACCAAGACATTTTGGACAATTCCATGCTCCCAACTTTGTGGGAACAGTTTGGAGCTGGCCCCTTCCTCTTCCAACATGACTGTGCACCAGTGCACAAAGCAAGGTCCATAAAGACATGGATGACAGAGTCTGGTGTGGATGAACTTGACTGGCCTGCACAGAGTCCTGACCTCAACCCGATAGAACACCTTTGGGATGAATTAGAGCGGAGACTGATAGCCAGGCCTTCTCGTCCAACATCAGTGTGCGACCTCACAAATGCGCTTCTGGAAGAATGGTCAAAAATTCCCATAAACACACTCCTAAACCTTGTGGACAGCCTTCCCAGAAGAGTTGAAGCTGTTCTAGCTGCAAAGGGTGGACCGACGTCATATTGAACCCTATGGATTAGGAACGGGATGTCACTTAAGCTCATATGCGAGTCAAGGCAGGTGAGCAAATACTTTTGGCAATATAGTGTAACTGAGACTGCGCCTTTTAGTATGGTGCGCCTTATGGTCGTGAAAATATGGTATATATAATCCACCTACATTCAGATCGTCTCTCCATCAGGGTGCACAACAATGAACCCCTTCAAATCAGCAATGTTATAATTTTTTGTTAGACAAGATCTTGCGAAACATATTGAGGTTGACTCTCAGAAATATGTTATATTTGACAGGTCCATAGAGTTGATCCATCTTATTCCTCAATAAACTGATCACCAAGAGGCAGATGGAGCTGGTTCAACAGCTCCTAACCTGCTGCTCTATAACAAAAAGCTCTTGGAAATGAAACTGCAATTATACAAAATAAATAAAAGCCAGATACAGATGGTCCTCAAAGAAGGAATCTTAAGCCTCGTCAGAAACCACCCATCTGGAAGTTTCACCAAGTCTAGAAGTTTTAAAGGACAACTTACTGTGATGTTTTCCAAGTCGAGATGCTTGTTGTGCACAGTCTCACACAGCTTTCGGATCTTCTCCTTGACTTTTGCCACTTCCTTTGCAGTTAGCTGATCCTCATGGCCTGAGTAGTCCTGGTCTAACTCCAGTAGCTTGATCATTAGCTCCAGACATGCTCGGTCCAGATCCATGTTCAGACGATCTCTACTCAGGATGTACATCAGGGCAGCAGTGCACAGAGCAAGGTTCTAATTTATATAAAAAGGAATAACATAAGCTCAGCTTTAGTAATTTAAAAGAAAAATTATAAAGAATAATTTCCAAGTCCTACATTAAATTAGATTGAATTTAAAACTATAAAACAAGCAATACAAGTAAAAGAAAATTCCTTATTTATGATTATTTATTGACACACAACACATAAAGGAAATCATAAGACTTTGAAATATACAAAAAAAAAAGAAGGCATTGATCACGTTTATGGCATATAGACCATCAACACAGATCACCAAGGCACAATAAATCCATATTCCCTTCATAATTACAAGCTTTCCAGAACCAAATTTGGACATGGTTTAGTATGACCCTGAAGGTTGTGTTCATGTTGCCAGTCTACATGTTACACAGATGCAACATATTCGCATAAAGCAAACAGTAGACGGAGAGAAAATACGTTGACTGACCGGATGCTGTGGAGCATCACTGAGGATTTTGAAGACCTGAGCCACTTTTCCTCTGGCCCGCAGGTGCATCCTGAAACTCGGCATGGCACATCTTGTGGCCAGGCTTATTATACTGAAAGACAAAGTGAATAAGAGGGTGGGAAAAAATAAAAAAGAACACAACAGCACTATTTAGGATTCTTTGTTCAATGTAATAAGCCAGAATGTGAGACAGGCAATTTACTGTAATTTTCCATCTGTTTAGCTGTGGATTTCTATTGTTTCTACGGAGGACATTCCAACTTTTAAGCAGAACACCTGCGACTTTATCTAAACATACGACCAACAAATGATGGGAATAGGAATGATTTGGGTACCAGCTACTACAAATCTCAGAAGTCACTTAAAAATGCTGCAACCCTAGATTTATCCAGATCTATGAAGCATAGAGTATTACAGCACTGTCCCTCCCCCATCTGCTGCTGTTTGGTCATTTAGCTTGCTAAAATAAAGCTACACTCTTTTCTCTCTCAACTAAAAGAAGAATATTGGCTGTTTTATCATTTCTAAGGTCACATGAAAGCATAAATTATGCGGAGTGCAAACCCCTTACATTATGCCGTTCAAAGTGTAGCAATAACGCCACGACCTGCATTTCTGTGTAACGAAGCACATAGCCTAAGTGATGAACCAGAAAACATCAGCTTGTTATACTTGTGTTAAAACTAATGAAAAGAAAATATATTTGCAAAGGAACAGTCCTGGCTTCAACCATTTCAACTCTTAATTGGTATATACCACCATTTATGACTAACAAGTTGCAGTATTTTAGGCAGAAACCTAATTTTAGTTAGAATGACTTATATTGTAATTGAAAGCATTTGTTTTATATTGTACAGTTAATGGTATAATTTATGGGCAAATGCTATGATGGTAGAATTGTTCCATTTCGTGTCCCATGGCTACACAGAAATAAAGATGTTCACAGATCATCTTTCTTCTCTGACAAACCAGACCTGAAAATTCATGAGCTGTTGGTGAATAACCTAAGAGCTACATGTGCTATCCCAAGTTCATCAAGACTGTTGTGACTAAAATGTACCAATATGAAAGTAGGACTTCCAAACTATCTTTATTAAAGCATCTTTGAAGAGCTTCTCTGCAGCAGTCAAGAAACAAGCAGCAAGCGTTTCCTTCCACTCACCTAAGGCATCTTGTGTTAAGTGGCTGACTGCTCTTCAGTCCCGTCTCCAGGTACTCAAAGTCGTCAGTAAACTCTTGATTCTCCCCGAACTCCACCACGTCATTGAAGTGCTTCACATGCTGCACCACTGTGTACAGCTGTTGCAAGAGGAATGGGGTTAATTACAGCTAATTGGAAGGTAGCGCATCTGTCCAGAGACACAATCAGCTCAGGCAAACACATTTGCACGGATATCGATGGAACAGCTCTCGCTGTTATTTCCCTCAGATGGTTCCATTACCGGCAATCGCTGACTGTGCTAATTTGCCTCATCAATAACGGCTCAGCATGTAACCTTGAGGCCTGATCAGCAGTTCCTTCTGTACGTTTACCAGCTGCAACTAGAGTGTTGAGTGGACTCCATGTGACATGGGAAGGAATAGCTATAGCATTAGTGTGCGGCAACACCTCTGCACTTAAGGGGATCTGTGGCCAACAGCGTGTTCTGAGCCTAGAAAGGCCCATCTATAACTGAAAACATGAGGGAGTTTAAATCATTAGCAGCCATCCTGGTTTTCTTTACTCACAGTGGGCATTGAACAAACAATAATGAGCTAGATATTCATCAAATAAACGCCATCCCATTATCCTACAATCTGTACCAAAAAAGACAGATTAGATGTGAAAGCAAAAAACAAAACAATTAGAGAAGCACCAGTCAGTCAGCCACAGATCAGAATTGGCTTTTTTTTTTTGTCCTGATTAGTTCCAAAGAGAAGTCAGGAGCCAAAATAATTCTATGCATCCAAATTAAATACAGTAATTATTCTCTATCCATTTACACAACAACCAGTAATAATATGTGCTATTGATGCACTATTGAGTTCAAAGGCAAAAGATAATAAAATAAATGTTAGAAAACATCTGATATAGATCGGAATAAATATTCTACTCTAAAGGTCTTTTATTTCTCATTAATTCAATAACACTAACTTTATTGAGAAACATACAACTTTTGTTTCTTTTATTCCCGTTCCTAGGGAAAAAATATGTATAAAATCAGAATCTTAATAAATAATTTATCATTGCATCTTTTCAAACAACTGATCCATAATATCCAGAATGTAAAGTGCAGAGAATCCATCTCCTCATGCCTTCAACCCACCTCTTTGTCTTCTTTCCTGCATTTGAGTGCTGTGACTATCTCCTGGTTGGGTCGTGTAGGGAGGGTCTCCATTTTGATGACTTTTGGTGGGGGTGGCGGGGCTTTGAACAAGCCATCGTCTTTATGAGAGTTGCTGTCCTTGGTGCTGCTCGATAAAATGGCCTTAAGAGGAAAATGAGCAAAGAAAAGAAATCCTGACCAAAGTAACAAAATCTGAATAATGGCATGTCACCAAGGTTTCCCCCTGCTTAACAGTTTATGCACACACGTGTAAATAAGTGTTTTTAAACAGATGTCAGATGAGATAGGGCAAAGTTAAAAACTAAACCTAAAAGCATGTGACAGAGTTCTTTGTCTAGGAACAAAAAGTTCAGTTTCCATGGGGTAAATTCAGATCAGAGGAAGATGATAAGTTCACTTTTCATTCACATCTCATTTTACTTCATCTGTTAAAAAAAAATATATATATATACTTGAGAAATAAAATAAGGAGCACTTCCAACTACTAAATTACCATATACATCTTTATCTAAAAGACCTTCTTTTGGCCTTGCTTTACAAAATACTCCTTATAGAACATCTTAACTCTACAGTAGTTATAAAAAAAATATTAAAAATTATTGTTAAACACACCTCACACTTAAAAATTACACATAAATAAAAGATTTAAGCCCAGAGTAATCTTACCGGAGAGGTCTGAGCTCTAGATAGTGGAGGCACAGGTACCTCCTCAGGTTCAGGCTGGTTCCAGTGTCGAGCATTGTACACAGCTTTAGAAGGAGACTAAAACCACAAAAATTAAAGTTTTGTTTAGCACAAAGCTCAAGATAATCATACATTCAGTACGACGAGACAGGCTGTGAAATTAAAACAGCATAACCCCCTTTTTTTTAAAGCAGGAACCATGAAATATAGTTGGTATTATCAGAGTAATATGAACAAACCAATAAAGGTTATTTTCCTCATTTACTTTTTTAATTTAAAAAAAAGGTTTGGATTTGAGGAAAGCGCTGTTTTGCTGCCCAGTCGGTCAGTTTTATTAGTCACTGGCCTGTAAATAGACTGAGTCACAAATGAAGTTTCCAACCAAAGCATTCAGCTTATTGTGTATATTTTAGTAAAATTTCAGTTAATGGAACGGGGCACTGCAGGGTCAGTGTGGGGGCTCAAGAATCTCCATACAGAACAGAACATTTCCTGTAAACGACACATTCTGTGACTCAAGTACATATTACGCAGGCAATGTACCAAGTTATGCTGATAATAATGTCAATGGTACACTCACAAATATGGAGGGACTGTACACAAATAACCCAAAGCCATTACAAAATGTGATTTAAATAAAAGAGGAGAATGTGCTCCGTAAACACTACTAATCAGAGACGAATTATTAAGTAAAAAAAGAAATATGAGGCAATACTCTAGTCACTCTACATAACCCTATATTTACTCTGGCCATTTCTCAATTCACAAGAACGTGAGTACGGACTTGTGTCCTAGCCAAGTATGTTCTTGAGAAGAACACAGGTAAGTGTGGACTTGGGGAGAACGGGAGCACGCAGCATTAATCAATTGGAACTAGGGCTGCAACAACGAATCGATAAAATCGATAAAAATCGACTTTTAAAAGCGTTGGCAACGAATTTCATCATCGATTAGTTGTGTCGCGCGATTATTGCGTCATCCGCCGCGCCGTCATCACTGCCTCTTGACTGAAAGAGGAAGAAAAAAAAATATGGCAGAGCGAGTCAGCACAGCAGGTGCAGTGTTACCAACTCAGCGACTTTTCAGACCCCTCCAGCGACTATTTTTCAAAAAAGCGACCAGCGACAAATCTGGCGACTTTTTTCGGTTTCACTGGCGGCTTTTGGAGACTCTTACGTGAAAGCATGCATCGTTCCTACTCTGCCGTGGGGCGCCTCCCCCACCACAACCGCGTTTTCCCGCAGGAGTCCCTCTCAGCTGCAGTCAGAGCCTCAGCGTCCAGACTGCAAATGAAGCGCGCATGCACCGGGATTGACGGCGCAAATTGATCACAATAATTAAAATAGCCTGCGCTTTGTAAAGCGAAAAAAGTGATAACATGCAACTTTTTTCAAAAGAAATTAACATGGCACGGAAGCACCATGTTTGTTTGGTTTTAAAGTGGGGGAACGTTACGTTAGTTTCTCAGGTAGCTCATCTGATGCTTTCCTCACCGTGTTAGTAGGTTACAGACAGTGATAAGGTTGGCTACTTATTTTACTTTTAATTTCATTTGAATTAGCTTAAGCAGCGTTTACATTTACTTTATAAATAAATTAACTTGCAAATTATGAGGGCAAGGCTTTTAAAGTTTAAATCTTCTGGCGAAGATAAAGTAAAGAAGATCCTGCAATTTATGGAAGTAAAGCAGAATAAAATCCAGCAATATCAGTAATATGTCAATTAATTATCTGCCACATTCCCATGTAAATATCTGTCTTTGGAGGATGTGTTTTTTAGCACCCCTAGTTCTCTCATTTTTATTCCAAATACAATTTATAATTTGAATCACAGGGCTATTTTTATCTCTATGGTTCAGTATTTTCTCAAGTAGCAACTTTAACTGCTATACTTTCCTGTCTTAAAAGGCAGAACTCTTCTAGTCTAAAAAAACTCATTTGTTGAAATGGGGGGGCCTATTGTTTGAACCCCTTAGGGGCTTTTAAAAACAAAAAAGTATTTTTTGCGCTTTATGAAACAAAGTACCCTATATTTTGTGGATGTACAGCTACATTTCTCATGTAAGTTTGCGTAGTTTTAACACAAACATTTATTTTTCATATTGCACCAGTACAGTTAATGAGCAACCTGTACTTGTGTGCTTGTTTGTTCTGTCTAAAATGTTTATTTTGGACTAAAGAGGTTAATATAAAAAATATTTTTTTTGTCCGATTCATCGATTAATCGAAAAAATAATCGTCCGATTCATCGATTTTTAAAATAATCGTTAGTTGCAGCCCTAATTGGAACAGAAACGTACTCATGACGTCACCACACGCTCAGCTTGTCTGGAGCTTCATTTCACCTCCTGTTATTAATAGTCTATAGATAATAATAAAATATTACTTTTTTCATTCAGTGGGGGAATAATTAACACAGTCAGATAAACACAAATCAACCTAATATTTTACCAAATAAAACAAACAAAAACAATTATAAATATCACCATCAGAGCCAGCGGTACTTTACACCTGGCTATGCTGAGAGAGTGTCGCTGCAGATGGGCTAAAATTATACTTAGAAACTAGGTCGTCTGCGTCGGTGTCGCAGTGAACGCAGAGACATCTGCAGACACTCTGCTGCACCTCTTCCAAATTGTAGGTGACAGTGCCGCAGACAGGAGGCCTCTGATTGGTCAAATCTACATCTGCTCTACACTATGAGTCTCCTGTTTGGTACCTTACAGGCTTGTTTTGTTTTTATGACCGCCATTGTGGAAAACGACTGGCGAATTTGGACCTGCTAGAAGAGCGAGGTGCGTGAGATCGCTGAGACCCTTTTTCCACCTGGATCCCCGCTCTTTTTCGCCCTCGTGTGCGCCCGTTGTAGGACAAACTTGCCCCATTTCCTCACGGCCTCAGCCGTATCTAGACCCAAAGCTAGTTCGGGAATATTTCCGTTGGCGTTGTGGCGTGGAACAAACAGCGCAGACAACGCTTCAATATGGAGCATAAATCAAAAATATCTGCGTCATACCTGCAACAAGCTCACTGCTACACACTGCTGTGGGAGTATAACCAGCCTTTTAGCCCTGGATGCAGTAAGCCTCGGGGGGCCGCTTGGTTCAGTAAATGGGCCAAATAGTAACGCTTAAAACTATAATGTTCTCACCACAAATGATCTTAAACCGCAATTCTATAGAACGGCAACAGAAAATTTATCTTTTAATTTAATACTCTGAGGTCTGTGAGTTCTAACCTGGAAGCTGCTGCAGCGGTGCATGCTGGGACAGCTGTCAATCTCAAGAACTGACAAGTCTGCTCTGATGCATGATCGGTAAATAGGGAGGGGCGAGAACATACAGGGACTGTGTCATTGTGAAATGGACCAGTACCAGGGCTGAGGCTGATCACGTTTCACAAGAACACGAGCACACGAGAATGCACAGGTACACATATTGAGAAAAGGCCTCTGTTCATCTAAGAATGACTTCACACCATGGTCTGATGATGTCATCAAGATTAAACCGAAATTACATTTGAATTACAGAACCAGAAAAAACAGAAAAGTATCTCATATTTTAGAGTAGTTTTACTTAGCATTTATTAATCCCATCTAAAACAGATAAAAAATATACATCACAACTTTTTTTTCTTCTCAACCCTCAGCTGTGAAACTACTTCTCATAAGATCTAAGAGTATTACAGAGTATTGAGGTTTTTAAAAAGGTTACTAAAGATCCCTTTAAGTTTCAAGCACAGATTTTTTGTCTAGTCACTGTGATTCCTTCCTGATCAAACTAATCTTAAGTTAAATCAGTAGTTTTAGTGGATGTTTAGTTCACATTTATTTCAAATCTATTTACTTAACCCTTTCTGTATAATAAAGTTATTAATCAATGTTAAAACACTTGTTTGAATGTGTAATTAAGTTTTATTTCCATTTTCTACAATGATGTTTCGTCCCATTTATTTTATAGCACTTTTTATTTAATATCTTTATCTAAACACTCATGGAGATCAATGCTTCGGTGCATTTATGTCTGCATTTAGTGTCTCATCATAATTAACACAGCTGTTTCCTCATTTGTTTAAACCACCACTACTGTTAGTAACAATTTTAAACATTGTGTGTATTTTGTCCCATGCTGAGACTCGTTTGCCATGCTTTTATCCTTTACTGCTGCTTATGTTGAATAGTTTTTTTGTACAATCACTGGGAGACTTGAAAAATAAAGATTGTGATGACAAGGCCACAAATCACTACTATCACCTATTTTCCTCCTGGTGTACAGAAAACACAGAAATATTGTCCATATATCAGGGTCAACACACTGACCTGTAAATCTAATAAAAACACAGCCCAAGTTTATAATAGCAACATGGAAATTTAAAATTTAAGCATGAAACATCAGGGCTATAACTCATTATTTTAGTAGTGGGATATTGGATTATTCTATTAAAAGAGATAAAAAATAAAATGATCCTGCAGATATTTTAGGCAACTGCTTAAACTTATTTTATAATTGATAGAAAAAACAAAGAATAGGAAAAGCAAGTAAACAATTCTGTTTTTGTTTTTTTTTTATGAAAGAGTACACTTTGACATCTGCACCACTTGTCTCATTTTGTATGCTGTAGAAATTAAACATGCTATCAAATCTTTAGAAAAGAAACCAAACTCTTCAGTAACCGCGTAACGTTTTGGAACCGTCCATCTCATGATGGACAGTTCTGATACGTCTGTGCAGGTATGTGGTGCAACCTGCTCTCAAAGCTATTTTAATTTTGCAGTGCAGGCAAGCCGATACACCCCTACACACCCTTCACTGCTGTCTCACTAGGATTGGTGCTTTCTTTTTTGGTTCTAAAATCATGGTATTATCCATTATCCTTACATTTAGTTAGACACATGGCAAAAAGTCCCGCAGTTAGAGGAGCTGAAGCTGAGAACTGTTACATCTAAGCAGGGATAGGAGCAAACCTGGGAAACCAGCTTTCACTTAATGCTCGTTTCAGGTGTGCTTTCAAAGCAGGAGTTAAAAAATAAATGCACAACTAAAGCTACGTTCACACAGCACAATGATGTGAAAACTGGATAAAATGTGGCATAACCGCTCAGACTGTAGACACTGAAAACTCTCTGATACTTAGATTTGGTAGCACATATGGAAGTAGGTCAAATCTCCTTTTTTCTTTTCATGATAAAAATATCTTGTCATTCAGACGGCTGTGAAAAAGTTTGATACGACTTGCACGTATAAAACCTCTGCTAAAAACAGAGTGTGCTGAATATTTTAAATTTAAAAAAGTAAGGGGGGCAGGTAGTTTGATTACTTACTGGAATTCTTAGAAAAATCAATTCAGCTTCACAAAAACACTTCTAAATGAGAACAGGCTGAAAACCTATGAATAAAGAAAGTTACCTTTTTGGGTCCACTGAAAATCTTTTTAAGACCAGTGGCTGAGTCCTTGGATCTGTCACCTTGCTTCCCCGGTCGCCCTTTCTGTCCCTCAGTGACACCAGGACTGGAATCATCAGAGAACTCAAAAGCATCTGTTGGAGAAGTTAAGAATGGTTTTAAAATATGCTGAGCACACAAAGTGAGTTCTCCTTGTAAATGACTAATTATTTCGATTGGGCAACATTCCTTCTTGAAAGGAATCTAACACAATTTGAGAGCATTCCCCTTCAATATTTCTACATTGCCATGAAGATGGACTTGCAGGATGGGCAGTGTTTGCAGAAAAGCAACCAACAGAAAAAATAAATAAATAATATAAATATAACAAATCCTCTTTGACAATAACAGCTTATTCTGCTGTTTATTGGATTGGATGGTCGAGATTTACAGAAACAAAACATACTGGCAATGCAACAATTTGTTCATTTCCCCAGCAGGGACCTCAGTACAGCGTGGCATCAAACTGCCTCCTCAAATAACCATTTGGCACTAGCTGAGCAGATTTGGAAAGTTTTTCTTGAGTGCAACCCTCAAACTTCTTTTCATCACAAAAGCCGCTTTATTTGAAGAGAAGTAAACAGGCCTTTAAACTATACAACAGTTTTGGCAGAAATTATGTTACAACTATATATATATATATATATATATACACACACACAATTTCTACGGTGATAAACTTTAATTTTACTCCTAAAGACCCTCATGACCCCAATTATGCTTTCATAAATAGGCATTTCTATTAAGCTATTTAAAACAGGTGTATGATAACAGACAATACAAGTGACCAATATATCCTTTTATTCTATAAGGATACCTTTTCTATGCATTCTATCACTGATAAGCATGAAGCAGACAACTCTAACACAGGCAAATATAAAGTTACTCACTTATAACTTCATCTTTTGAAAACTTCACCTGTTCTCACCTGTATTGCTGCTGGCTTGACTGTCCTGAGAGTCACTGGTATGGGGACTGTCAACGCTGGAGCTCAGAGCAGCCAATGCTGCGGCTGCTCTCTTGGCCTTTTTCTCTTTGGCCTGAGAGGTCTCCTCATCACTGTCACTCTCACTAAGGTCATCAAAGCCAAAATACTTGATCTTGTAGCTACTTTTGCCTGCCATAGGCCCCTCTGAGCTTGCATCATCTCCTTCAGCATCTTTGTCCTCAAACCCAAAGAACTCCAGCTTTGTCTCTGCTTTAGTTTTCTTTGTCTTTGTTTGAGCAGGCCTGAACCTACAAAACAAAACAAAAATCAGATATGCACGATTAAAATGTTTTTTTTGTATCAGAATTTAGTTAATAACACCATGCAATACAAATGTGGGTTTTATTTTTGCCATATTGACCCATGTACAAACTGCAGAACCACTTTTAATAAAGTTTGGATGTTGTGTAAAACAAAGTATGATGATTTCCAAAATGCAGTTCAACCTATTTACAATTAAATACTCTACAAAAAACAGATTTCTGATGTTCAAAGTACTAAGGAAAGCTCTGTGTTTAAACCTTGAAGCTTTTTCTCTCCTGTTCCTTTTCCTGAAAAGAGATACCTCGGGACCAATTCTTTAAATAACACTTTATAATGTACATGTATCAAATAACCCGAGGCATGAGAAGAAATTTAGATAGAAATTGTAATCTTACTCAGAGCAGAGAATTTGCTTAGGGTTACAGATGGCAGCTGCTTACCAACCGGGCTCTGGATTATTATTTTTTTTTTATATTACCAATTCTGGGACAGGGACTTTGCTTTACTGTTAGTTTTAACAGTTTGAACATTGCATAGCTCAATTTGTAGTGTATCTAATTAAATATAAAGGTTAAGTAGAAAAATATGGCCATCCAACATACTATTAAAATATGAACCTATCTTTCAAACTCCTATAAAAAGTGACAATAGACAGAATGTCAGAAAGGATATCTTGAGAGATCAGGGTATCATCTAAATACGAGCTGATCATTTTCCTTCCTGATACACTAAAGCATAAATATCACAAATACAAAACGACTGTGTGTGACATTACATTTAAATTTCAGTTCCAACTTGGCTAGATTTAAAAATAGCCAAGGGTGTTTGTAAATAGACTGCATCAAAAACCAATACAAATATGGAAATATTTCAAAATAATATTTTAAGCTTCCTATAAAGCAATAAATATTTGGTATAACTTAAGATTCAAATTTTGTACAATCCTTTTTTTTAATGACACTTTTACATACTTTGGATAACAATTTTCAAACCAACCGTACCGAGTAGGTTTAGGTGGCTGTGTGTCCGACTTCTTCTTCATCTGACCTGCTTCCCCAAGGTCAGCGGGGGTAGGTTGTGCCACGAATTCGTCGATGCTGCGCTCTATTGAGTCTTGGATAGTGACGTTGCACACGGACAAGCAGGATGGGTGCAGAACCGTGTAGTCCCGCACCCTTCCACCCCCTCTGCCTGGAGGCTTGGTTGCTGTGTTAGCACTGCTGCTAGCACTAGCAGAAAGGACACTGTTGGATTTATCTTGGGCATTCACAGGGTCGGCTGGTGTTTCATTGTAGCTTTCGCCAGATTCAGTTAGCGTTTTATTAGACCGGTGGGGCCGTTGGTATTTCTTGCAGTTTGAGGCTCTTAAGGTGAACGGGGAAGGGGGAATGTTGTCCACCGGTTGTGGGGGGGGCTCTGTGGAAAGCTCCTGGTCCTCAGTTTTCATTTCCTCTGACAGGGACCCATCATAAGAGCATGCAGGCTGAATGTTTTGTATTCCTCCTGGTATGTTTGCCGAAATGGTGGCATCTACATTAGTAAAAGAAGAAACGGGCATCTGGCATAATGACACGTTTTCATTATCAATGAGGACAGTCTCTGAGACGTAGGTCACATATACAGGTTTTTGGTTGCCAGCCAGTGCACTCTTGTACCATGGCTGGTTGTTTTTAACATCCTTCTCAGATGTTTGCTTACCTGTAGACAGAGAAAGGAAATCAATGGATGATAATAAAAAATGCACAAAAAAGAAACTTTAAAAGCCGATTTTAGAAAAGAAGACAGAATTAAACATACAGCATCAATCAATGATATCTATTCCAAAACAGGCAGTTTATATAAAGGGGCAACTCACTTGCAAATGTTGATGTTATACTTGCAGAGCTCTGTGCAGATGTCTCAACAGCAGCAGTCACTCTGTTCTGTGCTGGAACTGTTTTTGGTACATTCTGTTGTGGTACTTTCAGGTCAGGAGCGTTACCAGAAGCTACAGCCTTGGTTTCTTCATCGCTGTCAAACCCAAATGGATCTTCACTGTCGCTGTCCTCAAGCCTTGGCCTCTTGGAGACTTCAGGTGCGCCAGGGTTTAGCAAAGTGTTTTTGCCACCCAGATGAGCCTTGTAGGTGGTCTCCCCCCATTTGGTGGTCAGGGTGGGCTTTTTGTTGGAGAAAACTTCTTCAAATTTGGAATTAGCCTCCCCTCCCTTGCGGTTGTAGGTTTTACCAAATCTGGATGTCATGTTGGCTGTTGTATGTTACATATTCTCTGCAAATAAACAAACAGACAATCATTTAAAATCCACACTAATATCAAACTTAAAGTGATGATTATTAAAATAAAACTTAGCTAGTGTCTGATGTTAATAGCTGCTGAAAAATGAACTCTTTTACAATTTTGCACCTTTTTCTTTTCTGTTGGTATGAAAAAGAGCTTAGGTATGAATTAAAGTAGTCATCACTTCAGTTTGTACCTTCCAAGGTTAAGTTTGAAACTGACATGACAGTTATTTTGCTTTGATTACAGGTCATAACCTGAGACCTTTGAAATGAACTATAGATGATAGCTGCAGGCATCAATTCAGTTTACAAGCAAAAAAAACAAAAACAAAGTTTGTAGTATGGAGATTTCATAAAATGACAAACCATTAGATTGGTCCATTTTAAAGTTCGATTATCTTTATGCATGGGAATGCAAAACTAAAAATAAATACTGCATGTGCAATGGTTACAGTAGAAGTCCACATACAAATCAAGAATTTCAGAAGAACTGTCATGACTCATTCTTTAAAACCAAACAGGTAACCCTTTGATCTTCTGTGGTTATATTTATTTGTTTAATTATGGATTGTTAAAAACATTCAATATGGTCTTAGAAAGTTGGCCTCAACAGATGGCCGCTCACACTAAGTCTAGTTCTGCTGGAGGTTCTTCCTGTTAAAGGGGAGCATACTTGGTGTGAGGGATTACCTTTGAGTCAATGAGTGGATGCCATGCACTGGTTTTACTTAGATAGAAAACTTTTAATCAATTTGTATGATCTGGTGGAATTGAAATTGCCTTGAGATTACATGCTGTGAATTGTTGCTATATAAATAAAGCGAATTCACTGAAAAATACAAGCATTTCAAATTCTTGATTGTTGCTTGCTTCATATTTTACAGCAATACATGATGTATACAAATAACCATGTCTAATACTACACAAAGCCCAATTTCAAATTGGAAAACAGGCAAGTCATTGGTTTAAAAGAAATTGGATAATATAACGCAGCAATCCTTCTTTAAGGTGGCTTCACTCCTAAATATAAGACTTGTAAGACAGTTTTACACTCATTACAGTTTAAGTTTATAATCATTGAATAGAGTTCTATGCAAATTAATTTGACAAAGTTGGGCCAACTGATGGTGGCAAGCATAAGTTAGCATTGTTAGTTCAAGCTTTAATAAAAACGGTCCAGTCTTCTTAACACGACACACAAACAGAGAGGGGTTATAAACAGCCATAAGGCCCGGGAGTGAGTTCAAATATCTGCTTGACCTGCCAACAGAGCGGATAACTTATCAACATCTGTAAGATCCAGGCTGGCCCGCATATAAAGTTAACTGCTATGAAGTTAGCTATTAGCTGTTAGCTTAGGCACTGCTAACAAGGCTAACGCAAGTCTCTTGTTTACATTTCTACCCTGCGAAGATTAAATGAAGTAAGCATTTGTTTTAAAAGAGACTGTTCGCATGGATATATCCATATGGATGCATTTCATTTATTACAGTATTAAATAAAAGTGGGAATAAAGACAATTGGAACATACTATACCTTTCAACTCAAGCTAACCGTCTGCTTGTCTCCTAGCCAGCCGGTTAGGCCTCATCAGCTACTCACGCACCAATCAAGCGGGTAAAGTCCGTCCACTGCAACAGAAAGAGCACTAGAAAAACATATCTTACCCAAATGCTTCTCTGTAGCACAGGGGGATATAAAATAAAATATTTTATAACGGAGGCAGAGCTAAAGAAGTTTATAGATAATGAATAATCCGGAGTTTTTCCATGTTGAAGTGCTACTGACGGCCATTAAAATATCCCCTCCCTCCGCGACGCTCTGGCACTGTTTTGCGCTGGTTAGTCAAAAGGGAAACAACCAATCAGCAACAAGAGCGCATGGAAGCGCTGTGAGGCTGTGTCAGCGTCTCTGATTGGTTAAGCGGAATGTCTAAATACACGATAGGGGGCGCTAAATGATAGCGCTTGTTAACTCAAAAATTGAGACCATCAAATACAAACATTACAGGTCTTCTTGAAATTTTACATCATAATATAATAAAATAAAGTAGAATTTGCTTTCAACAAAATAACCTCCACTAACTAAAACAGAAAAGTGAACTTATGCAGTATAATATGCAAATGCCCAAATGTTTTCTTTTTTCCCCACATACATTACAATGGCTGCTTTTTGTTATAGAATGCTTTTCTGATATTTGTCAAATGCTTGGTGGTCTAGCTTTTTTTTCCCTTTAAAAATAAACAGTTTAAAAGGCAAATAAATAATTTAAATGATTATTTAAATGATCTGAAGATTGCATAAGGTGGATGAAATATTAAGGTTAAATTTACAAGCCCAGGAGTCTGATTATGGAGGCTGGACAAGCATATTTGGACTCAAAGCTGACGGAAATTTAGAACAAGTTAGAGATAGCACAGAAAAAATGTAATCATTTTAAAAGCTAAAAGTAGAAAAAAAAACAGAGGGTTGTCGGTTCAAGCCCCAGCTCCCGCTTTCGGTGTCTTTGTGTCCTTAAGCAAGACACTTCACCTGCATTGCCTACTGATGGTGGCAGCCACGCTTCTGTCAGTGAGCCCCAGAGCAGCTTTTGCTTCAATGTGTAAAGTGCTTTAATAAAGTTTCCTTACTTGAAAAAAGCTCTATATAAATATATATGTTGCCTTGCAACAGTGGTAAAAGTGGTAAATGGGTTTAATTCTTGACTAAAGTCAGGTCTTTCTGCATGGAGTTTTCAAGTTCTTCTTGTGCATGCTTGGGTTCTCTCTGGGTACTCTGGCTTCCATTACGAGTTCAAAAACATGGCTGTTAGTGTCAAGATTTAGAACAGAAAGACCCAGTATTCAAGCAAGACAGATCAGAACAGGAAGGCTCAGAGATCCAGGAGTCCGAAGACAGGTCAGGCAAACAGATCAGAACAGCAACAGGCAGGCTCAGAGATCCAGGAGTCCAAAGAGAGTTCAGGCAAACCGTTCAGAAGGGAACAGGCAGGCTAAGTGGTTTAGAGGCAGAACAGGTCAGGATCAGGAAATCAGAAACACCAAGGAACCTAAAAACACTCTCAACACTGTCTAGAGAGAACAAGAATAATCTCGACTTGATGACTGGATGCAAGCTCCTTAAGTAGAGGCAAGAGCAGGTGGATCAGATGAAGATGATGAAAAACCTGGCAGAGTTAGACAGGGGAAAGGAGTGACTAATTAAGCCAGTCATCAGTGCCAAGAACATAACAGTTAGGTTATCTTTAGGTGTAAATGTTTGCGTTCATGGTTGTGCTTCTGTCTGTTGCCCAGCAACCTGTCCAAGGAATGCCCTGTGTATAGACTGCTGGAAATAGGCACAAGCCTCACTGCAACCCTGACGGATAAAGATTTAATCCCATTATTTTAAGAAACAGAGAATCATAAAACAGCATGATCAAACTTAGAAATTACCCAAATTAAACAGGTATTTAAGGAAATATTCTCTATAGACAGGATTCGTTAAAATAGGTATGTTCACTCGAAGTATTTTAATATCTGTATAAGATACACAATACAATGTAAAGATAGCACTAACTGCAGTTTCCAACTTGTTCTCTAAGGAACCAAGGATTAGTGTTGAAAACTTGCTATACTTACTGTTCAGAACCCTTCAAACTGCTCTGACAACTTTGGCAGCAGGGGGTCATGTAGGGTATGATGTAAGTAAAAGGGGATATATTAAGTCTGCAGGGAAAAGTGGTCACAACTTTATCAACAATAAAAAGAACATCACTCAACATAGACAGACATCATTTCCTTCAGACCACTGAGGTCTCTGTGGAAGTGACTGGTCTCAGCTTCAAAGAACAAAATAAAACATAAAACAAGAAAGAAAATTTCCCACGAGAAAGTTTGGGTTCTTTACATCAAGCAGTTTGTTTTGCCCAAGATGGTATCAACATACACTCACTAGCCACCCATTTGTCTGTTAGCACAAATGACAAGGCAGAAAATTACAAGGCATTGTATTTCAGCTGCTAGTTGCCTGAAGAGGACAAGCTAAATATCATATTGATCATTATGGGTATGCATCTGACTAATCAGCATTGACTGCACGATACTACCGTAATACCCACACTACCATATCAAAATTAATAAAAACTTCAGAGGAATGTTTCCTCCTGAGTAATCATCACCAAATAAGTGAGGCATTTTGTAGAGGAAAGCAGGTGTCTGAACAGAGACAAACAGGCCATTACCTAATAAATTACATACATTTTTTCAGCTGGCAAATGGATGACAATAACTTTATGAGTTAAAGTTGAATCAATAACACTGCACTCATATGAAGTCTCACATTTTTCAATGTTTTTAAGATTTTGGGCTTGTGTAGAAACTGTCAGTCCAATGCAGGGCCCAGAGGAGGTGAGGTAATACAGCCATGCCCAGCATGACTGTTATGAACTCAGATTTTGGCAGTTGTGCAGTCATGACATCATTAAGAGGCAAACTTCCCAGCTGAGCCCAGTTGTATGTATTTGTGCTGTAATCTTTAAGTGTTATGAAACCTTTGACTAAATGATTCCAGAATATGTCCAACAGGAAACTGTAAAGAAACTAAAAACAGCAAGAAAGACCCTTTGAGTTAAATATTTGCAAGGCATTAGCAAAGAGCTTGGTCAATTAGAGAAATGCAACTCTGAAAAAGAACCAGAAGGTGGCACTAGCAGCACTAGTTAATCTTGCTTTCTCAGTTTTGCTTTAATTTCTCTTTTCACATCTGTGTCCAGATCTAAACACAGATCCCAAGCGGTATCATAAAAGTTAACCAAACACATGTCGAACTAAATTGTGCTCAAACATATTTGATCATTTATCATGCAGGCATGTGTGTTTCTGTGCATTACCGTAAAGCTGCTCTATAATAAATGTGGTGGCAGGAAATGGCAGAAGGGAAGGCAGAATAAACATAAAGTGGTTATTAGAGACATGCTCTGCAAGTCAAATATGAATAGCAGGAAACAAGCCAAAAAAAATGCAAAAAAAAGAAAAAAGCAAGAGCCGTTGAAATGGTATTTGAGGTTTTGCTTTCTTTTTAGAGCAGATGCAGCACATAATGCATAAATATAACTGATGATGGAGCTAAATAAAGTATACCAAAAAACTTGTTTTGTCTAGACGTTTATGTTTATAAAACCAGTTGCATCTTTTTAGTTCTCACAAGGTGAACTTTGTCATCTTTACTAAATTGATAAAATAAGTAAATCTCCTTCACAGCACCACTGCATATATGTATATAAAGCCCTAATCTGGGGCCACTTCATGTTGGGTCAGATCTCCAGTTGGCTCGCACCCCTGTCTCTGGGTTCAGTCTGCACAGTCCCTGGACCAACAATCGCACCAGAGTGCTATCAAGCCCATATGAAGGCAATAAAAACAAATTCAAACCAGACCCCTATTGGCTCCAAGCCCCCTTTCTGTGTGCACAATTGCATGAGCGGAGGTAACCCAAAACTCGGCACGCACACAAAGATAATATTGATACATCCAAAAAGAGGGTGTTTTTAAAACCTACTGAAAAGAAATGTGAAGGAAAAATGAGATAGTCAGCATACAAAATGTCAAAACAAATGTTGGTAAACCCTTTATTTTCTCCTCAGTATACATCACATAATTACCAAAAAACATTCTACAGTACTTAAAAAAAGGAGGCTAACAAAAATTATACAAATCAGATCTGCTCAGTGAGTTTCTACTTTAAAAAAAGCAGAGGATCCGACTGAGCTTAAGTCCATATGAAAACGACAAATAATAAGATGATAATCAAGGCTTTATGTTTCTGTTCAAACAGTAGTAGCATTTATAAAAAAAAAAAAATAAGGGCTAAAAGTGAAGACACACACAGATAAACAAAGAACAGCGCTGCTTTTAGAGCGTCAGTACGGTCGTTCCTTTCAAGGCAAAGCCAGGAGTTTCTCTGGATGCGTGGTGCCGCTAGGCCTTTAGCCACAAGTCGGCAGGTAAGCTGAAGATCCCTTCTACATAAGGTCCTCTGAATGATAAGTTAAACCTAACCCCAATATATGAAGGGTCAAGGATCAATCTCTACTGGAACAACAGTGAGGATGGCGTCCTCGTTGCCACGGCGTACAACCACTTTCAAGGTGGCATCGCTCTTGATGGCAGCGCTTACATCAGTCGCTGTTAAAATCCTCTGGCCGTTGATGGAGATGATGACATCATGTTCTTTGAGTCCACCACTAAAGGAAAAGATATAGGGATTTAGACTTCTTTTCTGGAAGAAACAAATACTTGATATACAGGACAGGTATTCTGGGTTGGGTGATTTGTTATTTTGTTGGGTAAAGCCATGGCTGAGGCGAACATGCTACCAGCCAAAAAGGTGTATTACTGTATTACTGTTTCATCTCACCTTCATTTTCTGTTATTTCAGGAGACAAAATTACAGGACACAAAAAAGATGAAACATATAAGAGCCACCAGACCTAGTTCCAAGCCATTTTCAAAAGGCTTTGGTACTAATTTGCACTGATTGCATCGATACCAATACCAGTATCGGACAGGGCCCAGATACTGCACTAAAATGGTGGTATTGGAATTAGTTAGTACCAACAAATAGGGCACAGATACCATTTTGAGAGCAGAAAGTTTATTCAACTATTGTCACCCATTCCAGGTAGGCAATAAAAAGTTCTACTGGATTCACTTTGTATTAGTCTATTTCTTTCTTCACAAAGGTAGGGAGCAGCTTGACAAAGCCATGATGGCAATTATTTTGCATCCAAGTAGTATGGAGCTCTTCATATATACACACACATCAATTTCAAACAGATAGTATCCTTATGGTACCGAT